CAAAATCTTCAATTTAGAGTAAATTATCCTAGATGCGGGATCAAATCCATTTTATATGGAACAGTTTGGTTTTTGGGTACTATATATCAAGTACCTTATGTCCATACCAATAATGGTTTTATTAAGTCTCTTATTGAGAAACAAATTGCATGACATATTAAAATAGAATTGTAATTTAGCAGAACAAAGCTGTTTTCATGCGGCCTTACACACCGCATCGTTAATTCAAATTTATCAAGCTGCACTTATACAACTCTCTCAGTTGCAGTATGTACGTGAAACTTTGGCCGCAGCCAAACATTTCTCATCTGCGCATCGAGTATGTTTTCACATACCCATATCACCACCCCAGCATACCAATGGGCATTAGGGATCCTAAGAGGTAACTCTGCAGGAGATTTATAAATTGCCTGTATGTTAATCACATTTGAGGATAATTCCAGACATTAGGGGGAGATTTATACCACATTAAGAATGCCAGGAATCAAAAGAGCAATCCTCACATCCACGTACCAAAAATTATAAACCTAATTGTTTAGAATATCTTATATTTGCATCATATTGCAAAAAAATCTGCCAGAAACATTTACTGATAATAAGGATGTCACAAAATCCTCTTATCCTACTTATAATGCGCACGAAAGAATGGAGGTACCAATTAAAACTATTCAACTCCCACTTCCAAAGAAGAGGGGGAGAAGTACGGCCGCTCCTAAGGATAATGATTCAAGTAAGCGTCCGAGGATACCGAGGACAATATCCTCCAAATCAGTAAATCCAAGCCAACCTCAAGTTGGTAGACACCCAAAATGGATGAGCATCCAAAACCTGGATCAAAATCCACCCGGATCAACGGTGCACCCAAATTCTGATCCGAGGACATTAGAACACCCTGACTGCATATGGGAAATGACTCGGAGTCTAAAAGAGTTAACATTTTCACATGCTATATTGATTTTAAGAACCGAATCAATCATTTAAAGACTACAAATTATCGTGGCATATACTCCTCAAAGATTGCTTTTTTACCTTACTGGATCTAGACCAAAAATCCTAGGCAGAGTGTCTTCACACTCAAATTTGGTCAAACTAAAAGGTGGTAATTAAGGAGATTGCTCTTGTTCAATGATGAGAAATATTATCATGGTAATATCTCCCCTCACAGAGTTTTTTTTTCAGAAGTAAGGTGGTGAACAATGAGAGCTTGTAGCATATGGTTTCACGTAGAGACCCAGCATAGCATACCCCATGGTATGTGTGAAAATAAAGTTTTCCAAATTCAATAATTGGTAGATCAAATGAATTTGATAGATTTGGATGTATAAGTCCCAATGGACTTCATATTCTGAATCCAAATACAAATCGCAACATATATTGTGCATAATTAAGCATGATTGCGTATATTGGTTATTATGATATCATCATGATACAGAAATAATTATGCAATCATTTGAGATAAAATTTCCATCATGTGGATTCGAGATGGAAGATTTGGGTAAGACCAAATATTGCCTAGGTTTACAATTTGAGCACCGTCCTTCAGGGATTTTAGTGTATCAATCAGTCTATATCCAGAAAATATTGGAAAATTTTAATATAGACAAATTATATTATAACAAAACCCCGATGGCTGTTCATTCTTTAGAAATAGAGAAAGATCCATTTAGACCATGAGATATTGGAGAAAAGATATTAGGACCAAGGTTCCATATCTTAGTGTCATTGGAGCACTTATGTATCTTGCAAATTGCACCAGGCCTGATATCGCATTTGCGGTGAACATACTAGTTAGATATAGTGCAAATCCAACTCACCGTCATTAGACCAGAGCGAAGCATATCCTCAGATATCTTAGTGGCACAAAGGATCTTGGTTTATTCTTTAAGAGAAATCATGATCCCAATATGATTGGATATACGGATGTTAGTTACTTATCTGGTCCCCATCTTAAACTAGATTTGTATTCTTACATGGAGGTACAGCTATTTCATGAAGTCTTCTAAATAGACTCTGACGGCGATCTCTACTAATCATTCTGAAATTATTGCTCTATACGAGGCATCACATGAATGTGTATGACTTCACAGAATGATTAACCACATACAACAGGCATGTGGTATTGGTTCGATTAAATCATCTATAATTATCTATGAAGATAATTTCACTCATGTTATATAGATGCAAACATGTTACATAAAGAGTAATGTCGCTAAGGACATTGCCCCCTAAGCTGTTTTATCCCCATAAGTTACAAGAAAGCAGGGAAATAAACATCTTGCAAATCACCGCATACGATAATCTCGCTGAACTATTTACTAAGTCCTTACCAACTTCTATGTTTCAAAAATTTCTACATAAGATTGGTATACAACGACTTCGAAATTTGCAAGAATCAGGGGGAGACATCTCCTAGATGCTGACCTGTACCAGTATCATATTATACTCTTTTCTTTCACAAGTTTTACTCATAAGGTTTCTTGTTAAAATTTTTAATGAGGTAATATTAACATAAGCATTTGTCATATTTTCTATTTTTTCCATCAGGGTTTTTATGGGAAATATCAAAGACACATATTGCCCTCACAACTCATTCATGGTTTTCCCCGAAAAGGTTTTTCATGTGAGTTATCCAAGAGGCAATACCAATAATATGTCGTCACATTTTTTCCTAATTTTCCCACTGGGTTTTTACAGGAGTTTTAGCGGCATATCACTTTATATTGCTCCTCATATTTTTTCTGAAAAATTTTTGGGGGAGTTATCTTTATGTCGTATCTCCAATATTTTTCTCCATTGAGGTTTTTAATGGGATACCAATGACATAGTGATTTATTTAAATCACAAATAAATATGCTATTTTCTCCTTATTTTCCAATAAGGTTTAAAGGAGTTTTTATGGCATATCATATATTCCTCAGATTTTTTTCATAGGGTTTTTCGAGGAATTTCAGCTTACAGCTGAATTGATCTCAAGGAAGATTCGATCAAGGAGGAGTGTTGTGAAACGACACCTATAGGCGAACGGATGTCTCTTCACGAGTAATCTCATCCATCAAGCACAGGATTAGTGGATAAGATTAGACAGTTAATTTTAGTTCTAAAGGGCATCTCTTTTGGGAACAGTCGTGTCCCTTCGTGACACCCCTCCACTTGTATAAATATATTTTCAAGATCAATGAAAGCAACAGTTCTTCCACATCTTGTTCATTTACATTCACTTCTAACACAACTAAACTATAGCTGGCAAAATTAGCTAGCTAAAGTTTAGCTAGAGTATCCAAACAGGGCCTAAAGCGGCCTCTAACTAGCCAAAGCACTATGCATATTTTGCTAATCGTTTAATCTTTTCTTAAGCACTTTTGGTGGCTAGAACACTAATAGATGAGCCTCAACTCAACTATACCTTCAATCAACTCTAGCACCCTCCAAATGGCCGATTGGAGGGGTATATATAGCTCCAACACTCTCAACTGGCCGTTGGAAACTAGGCTTGCAAAAGCAATGAGCATTGGAAGTTCTGATGGTCACACTAGAGAGAATTTTGGTGGGAATACTGGAGAGAATTTTGGTGCCTATTCCCACGTCGACTAGCCGTTGCCAACCGTTGGAAGTATTTTCTCCGGTGGTATTGGAAGTATGCGATGTGCACGTCCAATTATGCCTCAGACCTGGGCCTCACTCCATTTATCTGGTGCCTTCACTGGAGAGCTCCGGTGCACACTGGAAAACTCCGGTGCACTTATTCGGTGTTCACTGAGTGTTATCACATCTTTTTGTCCAGGTTTCTCTTCCTTGATATCTTAAGCTTCTTGCTTGTCTTCTAGGATCTCTATTTCTCCACTTTGATATTCATTTGAGGTGTTGATTCCTTGATCTTCATCTTAGCCTAGCTCAAGTACAACTTTTATCCAATGAACTAGCGTATAACTTTTCTAACATTATTATTCCAAATGGTTATGTTGTCGATCAACCACCAATATCACTAAACCTTTGCTATGGTCTATGTTCTTACAACAAACATCGATTGTTAGGCACGCCTCTGATCATAGCGCAAGATGGGAATGTTGCGTGCTCTTCTTGACTTGTGCCTTGTTTGGGAGAGGAGCTAAAGCCATTTCAAGGAGCCACGATTTGTCTCCTCCAAAACAGTTCCAGCTCCTCTTTTTTCCACTAAAAGAGAGCTCCAAACGACTTCTCCTAAACCGTTTGATAGGGCTTCTCTGGAGAAGCCGGAGAGAAACCCTATTGGTCTAAGCATTGGCCCCGTTTCCTCTGGGTCTAACACTATTTTGCTAACATTCTCCCCTTTGGATGAGATTTAACAGGAGTATATGGATGGATGATTTCTAGACGTTAGATCTACTTTATAAAGAACATCTAGAGGATAAGACATGAGGTGGGCAAAAAACAATTCCTTGTTTATCCTTTTTTCCAAAATAAACATGTAGAAATGAAAAAATAATGATCATATTTATCTAGTATCTCCTCAGGTAATCCGTCATCTTTTTTCAATCCTATACAAATGTCGAACTAGCTAAATGAACAGCCATGCAAATACCAACGAAATTTTCATTCCGATTTACTATGGTAAAAAAAAAAGAAATCTGAGAAAAATCTTAGGATACCATATGCTTATACACAAACAAAACCTCACATGCAAAAATAAGAACTTACTTTTAACTGCAAAATTTCAAGCCAATATATTCTTCAATGGTACTTAAGCATACCATCCTCTTGTATTTACTTTTTACATTTCCGTAGGTACATGCTCTTCAATGATCATCGAGCCAGTCACTGGGCGAGATACAAACTTCTAGGCAGCTAAAAATAGTCAAATCAAATCCCTCTGCCATATTCCTTCTTGATGCAAATTCAAACGGATGTCAATTGAATATATTCGACGAACTGCATTTTTAAACCCAAACAAATGCTCCATAGACTTCCATAAGCTAAGGCCTCTTATCGCTCCCACCACCAACTGACGATAGCATTTCAAGCGTCTACTGAGCTTTCTTTGATCTTGGAACGGAGGAGGCCAACTCTTTACTCGATGATCTGATGATGAAGAGAACGGTCTCCACCAGCATGCCACCAACTAATCCTAAGATACCTCCAGCAGCGTTCTAAAAAACACGACAAGGTTAACTCTGTGAGGTTTAATCTTACCAGGATACGGCAAACAAATTAGCAGCTGCAGAGGAAGGCAAAATTATTTGGCCTTTCCCGTTCAATGTACAAGATACTAGACCTCTACAAGAAATGGCCCTAATAAACTTACCAGTACAGCACTATTGTTGAACAGAGCTTTGAACATAGCAAATCCTACCAAATAACCTGTGAACATAATAACCACGACATGCAGACCTGAAAAAGAAGAGAAGTCAATTGAACATTGAAAACCATACAAGACATACAAGAAAATCCTAGCAACCTAAGCTCAGATATAGACTGTGTGGCATCCTAAGAGGATAAATGTACTTGTAGGAAAAAGTTTGCCTCTATTTTAGGGCATATGGATTTATTATTGATGATACATTGGATTGATATAACCAAAACAGAGGATCAACTGATATCATTGTACTTAAAAAGATGCAAAGCAGAATCGGATAGAAAATCACCCCAATGAAAGTGACTGATGATTATGGTTACATGAAGAGTGATTCTAGAAATGCAAAGCATTTAGATGAAAAATGCACCATTAACTTTAAGTGACAAACTATTTCCACAATTTGATTGTGGTTTGTGTAGTAGTAAATTTCAGTCAAGAGAGTATTTACATGATTTCATTACCAATGGCATGCATAATTGTACAAATTTTGTAGTCTTTTATTTACCACTAGTCTATTAACACTTCGAAGGGCAGGCCTGGTGCAGTGGTGAGAGCTATCTTACTGAGTCACCAGGTCACGGGTTCAAAGCAGCCTCTCCGCAGATTTTGCGGGGGGAAGGCTTGCCTCGGTTTTTCCCTTCCGCAGACCCCACTCATGTGGGAGCCTCCGGCACTGGGTCTGCCCCTATTAACACTTCCTGGATACTTGATTGCAAGTTTCACATGCACCTGTTTAATTGAAAAGACCCTTTTTGCATAACACCCTAGGGTTCCATTAGCAAAGCTAAAGGAATTACAGTTTCCATCATAACCACAATTAGAAAAAAAATAAAGGAAGTGCAGAAATTAAAGTAGATCCAACAAGCTTTAGCGGTTCAGCCTCACTCAATTACATTGTAGATAACCAAAATGCTCGATTAGTTGCACCAAAAACAAGCTCAAACCCAAATCCAGCATACATGTTTCAACTTATTTTTGGGAATTTCTGAAGACCCATAAACCCCCCAATTTTCACATGTTTACAAAAAAAACTTAAACCATTTTGCTAAGCTATGGTTAAAGATAAAATGAGGGATTTATTGTAGAACTCTAATCTCATCGCAAATAGGCACAGAAATGTTTGATCCCACTCGTGCTTACTGACACTACCACACAAGCCCAGTACTAACTAAACTTCTTGGAGTTAAAAAGTTCTGAATTCGAAAAAGCACAATTCTTGCGTTATAGCAATCATTCTTAATTGCGCATTGCAGGTTTGTGTAGTAGTACAATTTAGCGAAGAAACATTTGTATGATTTCACTACTATTGGCATGAATGGTTACTCCATCCTGAAAACTTGATTACAAGTTTCGCCAGCGCTAATTTAAACTTAAGGAGTCTGTTTTCCCTTACCGTCCCTGGATTCCCAAACAAGATAAAGGAACTGTACACACTGAAGCCAACAACAAACAGAAAGCAAACATGGTGCACAAATTAAAATAGATCCATCAAACTTCGGACTCTAGACATTATATAGTACATAACCAAAATGCTTTTGCGCCAAATAGGCTACCACACAGGCTGCACAGAGCAATTTGAACATAGGGCAGTTGGGTAGGTACCGAATCCTATCTGATCCTTGTAGGATGAGAAGGGCTCAGGAGAGTCGTCCTCGCTGGGCGGCACGACGTCCCTGACAAGCTCGGCGTACTCCTTCCTCTCCTGTATCTCCCGGAGCTTCTCCAGCCTAGCCTTGAGCTGATCGCTCTGCAAACGAATCGCACGGCAGACCAAGCCGAATCAGAATCAAAACCCCAACCATTTGCCGGTCCACACAGACCGAGGCAGACAGTGCCACCAAGGACACAGAGAGAGAACCTTCTCACGAGGCTTAGGGCTACGCAGCACGAAGTCAGCGCCCTGGAGGAGGTCGCGGAGCTGCGGGCGGGTGTCTGGCGGGTTGGCGCACCAGATGGTGCGCAGAGCGCGGTAGGAGACGGCGGGGTCCGAGATGAGGTCGGAGGCGAGGTCCCGTAGATCGGCAGCCAGGTCGACGGAGGCGGCAGCGGTCAAGAGGAAGGAGCGGATGGGATCGGTTGCTGCGACGGCGAGACCCGGCGCGGCGGTGGTCGTCGCCATGGCTCGCTTCGCTGCAGGATGATGCTAAGGACCTGTTTGGAACAGCTTAGTTCCCCCACGCATCAATTGCAAGCTAAGATTTCTTGGTAAGCTGATTTTCAAAGAAGCAAAGCGGAAGGAAGCTAACCGTTTGGCAGTGCGATTCTCGCCCGCAGGTTGGCTAGCAGCGGGGTCGACGGGGAAGACGACGAGACCGGGGCCAAGGGCGGCGAGGCAGTCGCTCTTCTCCGTGCCGTCGCCACCGCAGTGCCCTCTCACCAGATCTCGGCCGCAGGTGCCCCTCGCCGGATTTCGGACACGTCAAGGACGGAGGACGAGGGAAGCACGGCCACGGCAAGGAAGGAGGTCTGCGCGCACGGCCGCCGGAGGGGAGCACGAGACGGGGGCACGACTGGCGGCGCTCGAGCGAGAGAGGAGGGAGAGGGAGGCGCGCGGGTGCCGATCTACAGCGCCCGGCCGGGGGATGGAGGACAGGTGGAGGGCCTCAGCCGGAGATGGTGGAGGGCGGCGGGCTAGCGAGCTGGAGGACGGAGGAGATGGAGCTACTGGAACAGAATCGGTCACTTAAATGTACCATTAAAATTCAACTATTACGAGATTTACTATTATAATTCAGTATTTGCCTGAGTTTTGCTATTTTTTTTTATGTCTTTCAGCTGTTTGGGTCTACTGGTAGTCGTATACATACTGTTCGCTTTTCTGTATGGACGTTTTTGCCCCTGTCCCGAAGCTGAAAGAGCCCTGCGCCCGTGGCCCCATCTCTTAGTCTGTTCTCCTCCTCGCGCTCACTCTGTCTCTCACTCTCTCGTCCTCCCGACGTGGCGACGGCGGCAGAACCCTAACCCTAGCCGCCGGCGTCCTAGAGCCTGCGCCCGCACCCGAGTCAACTGTCGCCGCCGCCCAACTCCACTACCGCCCGCGTCCGAGCTATCCTCCCGTGGCCCCATCTCTTGGTCTATAGGTTCTGCGCCTAGGTTTTGAAGCCATGGCCGCGCTTAGGTTTTGAAGCCATGGTCGGGCAGTGGTCTGGAAGCCCGATGAAGGTACCTTCGATGGGCTCGAGCGCGATGGCCAGCGGCAGAAGGGAGTGCCCTTATTGCCATGTTCCTTTGGTCCGGATCCAGAGCAAGCAGCCAGCGACTAAGGATCAGTGGTTTCTCACGTGCCCGTACAACATTAAGGTTAGGATTCTTGACATTGTTGACCTCACTATGTCTCTTGATGCTACTCTGATTAATGCGTTTTTGTGTGCAGGGTGATCATACTACCTGCGGCTTCATCTGCTCTGAGATGCAGATTGAGGCCTTGGAAGCAAAGGAACGCCGGTTGCAGACTGGTAAGGAGACATCAGCTGACTGTTATGCCGAGTTGAAGGAAGATTGCAAGAGTTGAAGCAAACTATGGATAGTATTTGTAGCTGATCTGTGGAAACTGAAGGTCCAACCTGCTGAGCCGAAGCCTGAGCTGGACACGAAGAAATGCCATATTGTGCTTGATTGTTCAGTTGTATCGCTAGTTTTTTTGGCTTTGCAGGTGTCCTGATTGGTGCATTTGTTGTTGCTGTTATGTGGAAGTGAACAGCAAGAATGTGTGTTAGTCAGCTAATGTAAGTGTGGGTTAGCTAATGTGTGACTGTGTGTATGTATGTTATCCTGGAATTGAATTGAAATGAAATGTGTTCTGTTGAATCAATTGACATCTTGTATTCTAACTGCTTGTGGTTCTCTTTATATGATGATTTTACAGCTTCCAATTCGCTCTTTAGTTTCAGTTCTACTATGCTGAAGGGCTAGCGTCTGCTGTGCTCCATGAGAATTTAGAGGTGCACAAGTGTGAAAGGATCAAGATATCCAAGAGGGGGGGTGAATTGGGCTAATTAATTTTTTTTGCAATAATTAAGTCATATGGTTAGCCCAATTAACCCCTTGTGCCTAGAAAGTGTTCCTAGTTGTTCTACCGCACAAAAGACTTGCAACCTAACTTCTAATCCTACTCTAGCATGGTAATTCTATTAATGTAAGAACAAGAATTAAATTGCTCAAAGTAAATGCTCAAAGTAAATAGAGAGGAGAGAAAACGCGACGATGTTTTGCCGAGGTATCGGAGAGTCGCTACTCTCCACTAGTTCTCGTTGGAGCACCTGCGCAAGGGTGTAGCTCCCCCTTGATCTGCGCAAGGATCAAGTGCTCTCTACGGGTTGATTCTTCGACACTTCGTCGCAGTGAATGACCCACAACCGCTCACAATATGAGTTGGGTCATCCACAAGCTCTCCGGATGATCACCAAGCTCCCAATCACCACCAAGCCGTCTAGGTGATGGCGATCACCAAGAGTAATAAGCACGAACTCTCACTTGACCACGACAAGCCTAGGGAGAAAGATGAATGCACACTTTGCTACTCTTGATCTCACTAATGAGAGCTCTCTTTGGGATTCTCAAATCTCAACACCTCACTAGGACCTTGCTCTTCTTGGCACTCTCTAAGGTGTGTTTCAGCTGTTGAAAATGAGTAAAAGTACCCCCACACACGAGTGGAGGGAGTATTTATAACAAGGGCTGAAAAACAAACCGTTATGTGCCTCTATGTGGTGACCAAACGCTCCGGTCAGTATACCCCGAACTCCAGTGTTTACAGTGTGACCGGACGCGTCCGGTCGCAATTTTCCCTCTCTGGAACCTTACTGGAGTCGACCGAACGCTGGCTTTCAGTGTCCGGTCACATGACCTCTCAGCGTCCGATCGCGCCAGACGCAATCACCTTGGTCAAATGAAATGACCGGACCCTAAGCCAGCGTCCGGTCAAACCGGAGCCAGCGTCCAGTCAATTTTGACCCTCCATTCACTTCCAACTCTTGATCATATGTGAATGAAGTTTGCTCCAATGAATCTTAAGCATATTTAGGAGCTACCTAGTGCTAGTTTCTACAAGTGTGCACCACACCTAACGCACTAGACTCACCTAGGTCAAGCTACCCATCCATACCCCCTTAATAGTATGGCCAAAGGAAAAACAAAGTTCTAAACTACTATAAGTGTCTCTTCAACTCCAATAGACACTTAGAACTAGTCCATCTTTAACCTTGTCGTCCATCCTTTGAAAACCGAAACGATTTCCATCATAGGGGCATGACCACCTTGATTGCCCAATCGATCTCCATTACCATGACCTAACTTAATTGCCTCTGTAAAATACACGTTAGTCATAATAATCTTGTATTGTCATTAATCACCGAAACCCAACTAGGGGCCTAGATGCTTTCAATCTCCCCCTTTTTGATGATTAATGACAATACCCCCTCGAGTATGTGAAAGAGTTGAGGTTTTTAACATGCTTGGATCATATAAGCTTTTGTCAATAAAAACAAAGGTGTTAGTCAAGTTTATATGAACCAAGCCAACATGATGTACTCAAAAGATATGAAATAAGCATGAGTACAAGTAATAAAGCTCATTTGCATCGGAGTAAAACGCAGAAGCAAAGGCAAGTGAGCATAACACAAGTGATATGACATATAAATAATTCAAAGTAGAGAGCACACATGTCACATATCACGATCACGTAGATATCACTATCACATAAATATAGTTTAATGCATAACAAGTAAACACACGACGAATGCATAATAGTGTATCACACATAAAAACTCCAAATGTAATATATAAGCTAATATAATAACTAAGCTCCCCCTAAATACCTCGCTCCCCCTAAATCTATCATACTCGATCCCTCTCCCCCTTTGGCGTCAAACACCAAAACCTAAGGGTCGGTCGGCGGGGCTGTAGCGGACGAGCCGGGCGCTAAAGTACGAGGAGCAAGCTGGAACTGGTTGGCATCATCATCTGATCCGGAGCTCTAAGCTGTCTGATCCTCTGAAGCTGAAAGCGATGCTGAAGCAGTCTGGATCGAATAAAGGACTGGAGCTGCTGTAGGCTCTGTTGGTACGACTGAAGCAGCTGGCTCTGATGATGCCACTGAGGATGGGAGCGTCTCTGTAGTCCTGGTAACAGGTGCAACTGTTGAAGGACCTAGGACATATAGATATGGAGAAGTAGGCATCCCTGTCAACTCACTGAATGAAGCACCAAGGCTCCTGGACACTGAAACATCCTCAATTTTCCGCGAAGGGAAAATCCACAGAATGAATTATAATATGATGAAACCAATAGTTGATTCCATCATATTATCATATATCAGTCGATATCACAGTCATACATCGTAAGATTACAAGAATACAAGATATTACATCACTGGGGAATACACCTATTATAGAGTTAATCTAGCGGAAGACTATCGAGTGAAGGCTTCTCCTTCAAGGGTCATCATCAGAGTTGATGTAGTGCAGCGTAGATTCCATCTCCGAACCAAACTTGAGCGTAGGCACGAGACCTCCTAATCCTTCTCTAGTCAGCATCTCGAAGAAGCAAGAAATCTGCACACCGCCAGATGTGTGCAGGCCATGGTCAGCACCGATGAGCTTTTAGTGGAAAAGGTAAAACAAGAGGATCTGGCGATCCTAACATTTGGCTGTGGTTTGCATCCTTAGCGCATGCGAAGTAAGTATGTGATGAGAAATGTAATAGTAATGTCCGATTTTTTAACACATTCACAGCCACACACATCCACATCCATCCATAACCATCCACCAACCATCCATCCCAAACCATCTCCACACCACACACCTTATCTCATCTTACACACTCAGGTCGACAGGCCAACTCCCTCTCGGCCTTGTCTCAACGGCCCGTAGCCCCAAGGCTCACGACCGGAAAATACCCCAAACCCTGGAGGGAGAATAGAAAGACTCATCTCCTATCTAGTTTAAGCGAAACCCAGGAAAGGTCCATAGCCGACAAGTCGACATATGTATCGATCGATCAACCAAACATTCTGCAGAGGTTTTACATACCCACAAGATAGCCATCCTCGACGGTGCCCCGTCTAGGCAGATTTCGGCCGCTTGCTAGCCTAGAACGATGCCACCCTACCTCTCAGCCCTG